TCACCATTGGAAAGGGAGATTATAGATAAGCAAGAAGGAAGGCTAGAATAAACTTTGTAGGACAGGGTTATAGTCAGAGCCATTAGCCTGAATTCATGTTTGGCTTAATACATAGATGGGTAGATTTAGAAGTTATTATAGGTATATGTATAAACATAGACTGGGATACACACGTATATTTCCTAGCTCTGCCGGCTGAAAGATCCTAGAAGAAATAACACTCCAGTAAAACAAGCACAGTTAGTATCCAGATCTTTGTTTCTAATACTATTTTCCAATAAAAGGAACCAGGGCTCCTCAGAGAAATCACTGATTCTAGGGCTGGGGCAGAAATCTACAAGATGATCCTGAGTTCAGGATCGTCTTTTAGTACTAGAAAGTAAGGAAGTGCTAAAAAACCAAGATGATGGGGGCATGCCAAAAGTACACTGGAGTCAACCTAAAAGAACTCTCGATGGCCAAAGTTGGAACAATTTGAGAAAAAATATAAATATGTAGTATTGGATTATCACCTAGAGAATAAACTAAACATCCACAAATCCATGCTGATATATGTCAATGATCAAATAAATAAATAAATAAAGGGGAGTGAAGAACAAATTTTCAGTATGGAAGAATTCCAAATAATTTATGTAAAGACTCTCCCATCAAGAGGTGGGGCTTCATTCCCCACCTCTTGAACATGAGCTGTGCTTAGTAACTAGTTTCCAATGAATACAATATAGGAAGGGGGGAAAATAGCTTCGTGTGGAAACCTTACAAACATCACTTCAGCTTAATTGAAGTTAGCATCATCAATGATGTCATGATGATAGCATGTACCTTTGATATGATGTAATGAGAATGACACTTCCTTTCTTTAATCTTCCTCCCCAAACCCATAACCTCAATACAGTCATGAGAAAAACAGCAGACAAACTCCAACTGTGGGACATTCTTCAAAACAGCTCATCGTTCCCCCTCAAAATTGTCAAGGAAATACGTCTAAAAATCTGTCAGTCCAGATGAGCCTAAAAAGACATGATGGCTAAATATAATGTGATATTTATGTTTAATATAATTTGGATGGGATTCTGGAAAAGAAAGAGGACATTAGGTAACAACTAAGGAAATCTGAATAAAGCATGGAGTTTAGTTAAATACAATGTATCCATACTGGTTCATTAGTTGTAACAAAAGTACCATGGTAATGTAAGATGCTAACAATGGGGGAAACAATAGAAGTATACAGGGGTTCTTGGCACTGTCTTTGCAATATTTCTATGAATTTAAAACTATTCTATAAAAAGTTATTAAAAAGTTAACACAAAGAGAAATAGTAATATGAACATTCCTATATCTATTAAAGAAATATTCTTCATCATTAAAACCTGTCCATCAAGAAATAGTGTAATAGAAATTCATGAAAATTAGCCTGGTAAACACTTTTTCATTTTTTTCAAAATTCAGTTTCAGTGTCTTTTCAATCCTGCAGGCTTTCTTAATGTATTATTTATGTCCCTTTTCTATTCAGTTTTATACTTATTGATATATCTACATATGTCCCAGTTTTACTGTAAGTTCCCAAGCAGGGACTATGATTAATTTTCTCTACATAGCCAGTGTCCAGCAAACATAAGTACGTGTAGTTACCAGTATGTGCTTATTAAATGTATGGAGATTCAGATTATGGAAGAAAAAGAGCTAAAGCCAAAGTTATTGGAATAGAGGAAACAAGAAGATAAAACAAGAAGACAGAGCCAAACAAGGTTAGAGAAGATTAAGAACAGAAAAACTCAGTATCACAGAAAACAAGAAGGGGGAGTTTCAAGAGAAAAGGTCTGTAGTTTCAAATGCATTAAAGAGAAGATGGGGAATTTTTATTAAGACTGAGTGTTGTGGTTGAACCATGTCACCCAAAATAGTACGATCAAGTCCTAACCCCATACCAGTGAATGTAACCTCATTTGGAAATAGGGACTTTGCAGATGTAATCAAGTTAAGATTAGGTTAAACTAAGAGTAGGGTCCCTAATCCAGTGCTTTGTGTTATAAGAGAAAGAAGAGGAAGGTTTATTCACGTAAACACAGAGACAGCACACAAGGAAGACAGCCACATGGTGATGGAAGTAGAGATTGGGGTGATACCACTGCAAACCAGGGAATCACAAGGATTGACGGCAACTACCAGAAGCTAGAAAAAATCACTGAAGGATTCTTCCCCAGTGGCTCTGGTGGTGGTCTGGCTCTGCTGACACCTTGACTTCAGACTTTTGACCTCCAGAATTGTGAGAAAATAAATTTCTATTGTTTTAAACTACCCAGTTTGTGATAATTTATTATAGTAGCCCCAGGAAACCAATACCTTGAAAGGGACTAAATGATTAGAGAGTACTAGGAGTGTTCCAGATAATTGTTTTCAAGGGAAGACAAAAGCCAAAATTATGAATAGCTGGGAAATGTATGACAGGTGAAGAAAATAATTACGTGATCATAAACCACTACTGCAAAAATTTTTAAGTGGTCAATCCAAAAATAATTTATGTTAACTACACATCATAGGAAAGACTCACTTTATTTTCCCCAAGAAATTATTATTTCCATCTTGAAGCACATAACTTATTAGATATTTTTAGGATAACTTTCAATAAAATTACAGTCTACCAAAATGCAGCTTAATATCATTATACAAAATACTGTGTTGAATCTCTACGAGTCCTCATTAGAGACTGGAAGAAGACCGATTCTAAGAGTTTCCTCTGTCCAGAGGAAAAATTGATGATGAAGTTTTTGGAATAATACACACTTGGGGTCAAAAAGGTGGTGAGTCTAGTGTTTAAATATTCAACTGTGGGATCAGACAGTTTGGGTTCTAATATAATTAAATAAGTTGCTTAACCCTCTCTGAAATTCAGCCACCCTATGTGTAAAAAGGGAATGATAGAACTGTCTCGTAAGGTTTCTGAGGGAGTTAAAGTACGTAATAAAGTACCTGACACACAAAAATTAATCATTATTAATTATTAACAGATTAATAGTGTCTGGAAGGTTGAAGCAGTGTTAGTGCAGGGGCAATCAAGTGACTTTGCTCACAGATTTCTAGAAAAGCCTCATAAATTTGCAGCTACGTTGTGTGTTGTACCCTATGGTGAATGCCTGGAAAAAGGACATTAGGGAAGGGACAACCAGTTTTCTCTGAAGGCTTTTAGAGCTTTCTGCACGTGCTCCATATGCTTGAATAAGTTGCCAAGGAGACAGCAACTTGTTTTTTCTTCTTCCTCTAAAGGGTTGAAATATTTGGAAGAGCTTGCAATCTAGTTTTAGAAATGCACCTAATAAAATAAATGCAATAATTAGGAATTGAGGCCATATGTGTTTTCACTTCCTTACAACTAGAATTAAACAAATCCAGAGTCACTGTTCTTCACTTCTATGCAAATTATTAAATTGGATTATGCTGGCGGTGTCCCCATAGGAAGAAGTAAAGGTACTAGCCTCCTAAAGAGTGGGAAAGGGAACTCTGGAATGTTTAGGGCTTCTCCATGCAAGTGAGGAGATATTCTAAAATAAATCTGAAAGATGATCTTTATCTAAGGCCATGCTTGTATAGTGCAACTTGTACATTGTTTTTCAGGATATCAAGGAGGAAAGATGACAAGGAAATGTGTCAGGATGTTTTAAGCTCTTTCCTAAAGGAGATCATTACACACCTGAGTAGGTAAGGGGAGGAAAAGTTAACCTCAGATCAGGAACAGTGATAGAAAATGACAAGCTGTTCCTGGTTTAAATTAATTAGAGAAAGGATAATGAACTCTTCACAATTTCTTTTCCTATTTTTTGCAACTCTAATTTGTATTTGCAATAGTAGTGGTACTCTCAAAATGGTTGTATGAAAAAGAAGGCAACATTTTCTATAGGCTGACATTGATATATACTCAAGAGAGGAAGACGTGAGACAACAATTACCAAATTATATACAATTGTGAATGCAGAATATACCTCACTCGTCTCCAACTACATGTATTCTCTCCTTGACTTCTTGGTTGAGTCCTCCAAAGCCTGTAATGCCAACTAACTCAGTGGAAATATGATGAAGGGGGAAATTAGAGTAGAAAAAGACAGTAGTTTATTCTCTTGCAATTAAGACATCTTTCCAATTTTTACAAAAATATACGACCTCGAAACAACATCACTAGGGTCCCTCTCAGGTCCTTGATGGTGTCTGTTCAAACGATAAGCTCCGAAGTGTAAACTCCACCAACCTCAAAGGAAATCAAGCTCTTAACTGTTTTCATCAGTTTTTCCCTTTTTCCATCCGTTGAGCTTCTGTATAATTGTTGCATGTTGAATTCATCCAGTTATCTGCTTAATTTGTTCTCCTACGTCCTTTTCTCTCCATCCATCCTAACACAACGGCCAAAGCAATGCTACTTAAACTGCATTTCCTACATTCCTTTTCCTTAATTAGATCTATCAATGATTACATATTGCTTATAAAATAATTTACAAATGTTTTATCTGGAATTCAAACCTTTCCTCATTCAAAGCCCCTCTTACTTCTTCCACAGCTTCCTTGTGCAAAACCACTGCTCTGCTGTTGATATTCTCATTAATTCTAGAACACTCTCTACACTTTTCCATACCTCAGAGTCTTTGCTTGGATGTCCTCTTCCCCTAAATTAGAATTTAATAAGTAAATATTCTTGAGACCCTCCCAAATCAAGTCTTCGGAAGAAATTTCTCTTTCCTTCAACTCCTGTGGTACATATTGACCATAATAGTCATTTGTTACTTAGTATGGATATTACTTACTTATAATTTTAAAATAGGAGAATTTTTAAAGTCTCTTAAGTCTTATAAATTTTTCCTAACTTTTTGCCCTACAAATACATAGAACACATTTGTTGAGAATGTGGCAACATGGATATTGAGAATAAATACAAGTGTTTGGGGCTTAAATTTAGTACTAACGGTTAACTATTTGCAGTCTGTTCTTGCTAATGGTAATCTAATATGGTTAAGTCCCCTACACAGGAACCTTCAAGTTGCGAACTTTCAAAGATGCGAACGTGCCCCTGTATGCCAGCTGTTGTGCTGGACTACTGTACTTTTCAAGGTACTGTACTGTAAGATTAAAAATGTTGTCTTTATTTTTGTGTTTGTTTGTCTTTTATGTATTGTGTGAAAAGTATTATAAACCTATTCCAGTACAGTACAGTACTATATAGCTGATTGTGTTGGGTACCTAGAATAACTTTGTTGGACTTATGAACAAGTTGGACTTACAAATGCGCTCTCGAAATGGAACTCGTTGGGGGACTTACTGTACCATATAACAACTTTGTGTTATGAAATAATAACATGTTGGTAATTTTCTTATGTTCTTCTAAATATCTTTGAAATAAATACTTGGTTTTAAAAATATTGATGAAAATAAAAAGGAAACAAAAGCACTCAACGGATGACTTAGCCATCAGTCTTTGAAATCAAATAGAAGAGAAAAAACAGTAAAAATAACACATCTAAAAGATATTGTTGAAATTAATTTGAAGCCATTATTTTCACTTGAACAGTGGAGTGGCATCTTAAATGTTCAACAACTGCAAATAAAGTGAAAATCTGTAAAGTAAAATCACTCCTGAAAATACTTTAAATTCTCCGTAAACATATATGTGTTTGTGTATGTACATTAAAAACCTGTATGGTAATATGTTTACATAATTATAAAATAAACACATAAATGTGAAGGTATTTACTAAAATACATTTGCAAATATTTATAGCATTTTAAATTATATAAAGGAGTTATTGACAATTTAATTTATATGCATTTAATAGTATGGGAAGCAAATCATTTGAAAGGCAGATCTGTATGGGTTAAAAGTAAGATTCAGGGAATCGGATCGCTGGCTTCCATTGTGGTTGTAGCACAATGTCTTTTGACTTTGAGGAAGTTGCTTAAATGGCCTGCGGCTCAGCTGAATGACCGATTGTGGCATGAAAGTCACTCAACTTCATTCCTTATCAGTAAATGCATATTAAAACCTCAGAGAATTACTGCTCCCTGCTCACCAGAATGTCTAAAACTACAAAGATGGAAAGCATCAGTGTGTTGAGGGTGTGGAGCAACTTACACACTTGCTAATGGGAATGTCAATCGATATAGACCTTTTGGAAAAGTGTCTGATGGTCCCTACCACACCTAGAGATATGCATACATTATGTCCTAATATTCCACTCCTAGGTATGTACTCATCAGAAATGAGAACACGTGTTTCCCCAAAACCTCATAATTTGATGTTCACAGCAGAACTATGTGCACTGTCTCTGAACTAGAAGCTACCCAGATGCCCACTGACAGACACACAGATAAATAAAATGTGGCATATTCGAAGAATTGAATATCATACAGCAATAAGGGTTAATAATCTACAGCAACACCCAACAGTGTGCTGGAATAATCTAAACACAGTTTTTAATGGAAGGCTCCAAGCACAAAAGAATAAATGTCTTATTATCTGATGTATACAAAGTACAAAACCAGGCAAATCTGTCCCCTGTTCACAGAGATCAGGAGAGTGTGTCATGGGGTAGGGGGGGAGGGGGTACTGAAGTGGAGGCTGGGCCTTTCCTGAGAGACTGCTGTTCTTCACCTCTGTGCTCTTAGCACGTGTGTCTTCACTTTCTCCGTATTCAGCAAACCATTTGCTTACATTCTCTTTACGCATATTATATTTCAGTACAAAGTTTAAAAAATTCAGCATTTCAATTTCTTGATTTTTGAATTATTAAACTCATTCATACCTAAGGAGAGTGAGCCTGTTGCTTTATACACGCATTTATAACAAGTCCTTAAAAGACTAATTTCATGGACTGCAGGCGGAGCAGTCTCCCCAAATCAACCAGCACTGCATTCCTGGCAAAGTTTAGTTCTGTTGTCTGGGTCTTGATTGTGAAAGCATTGCCTAACCTCAAGTTCTGTAAATGATTTCTGAAAGAGCTTTTATTTATTTAAATCTTCTGAGGTCTACCAACGGTAGATCTGAATGGGGTCTAATCAATTGGAGGGTTTATGAAATGCAGAGAATATCACGAGTTATGCACATTCCAAGAACCTGAACGTTTCCAGTGAAGAACATGCCTGGGTGTTATAAAAACAAAGCAAGGGCAGGTCACGACATTAGCTTTCAGTGGGAGTGCAGACTCACACTCTGGCACTGCTGGGGCTCCTGGCTGATTGTTTTCTTTTACTTTGCAAAAGTTTCTGATGGGCGGGACATCTAGCAATGGCTTTAATCCCTAAGCTGGGTTTCGACTTCCTTTTGGAGAAAGTAGTTTCCTGCACTTTCCATAGTTTTTAACAGAGGAGAGCCTGACACAGTGTTAAGCACTGTCAACTACTAGATGTGCCCCTGAAGGGTCCCCAAAATGAGATTTCCAGCAACAATTGTGTGGTTTATGTTATGGACTGTTTGTGCCACAAAAGGTAAGATTAAAAAAGGGAGGCTTTTTTTTTTCTATATTGCAAAACATTTGCTTACATGCTTTTTACGGTGGTAATAAAAATTTGGTCTAGAAAATGTGTTTAATTACTGTGCTGTAGCCTAGTGTGTGAGATGCTTTTGACACTGTTCAGTTTAAAAAATATAAGCAGCTTATTTGAATGGCATATCTAATTATTCATCATAATTTTATTTAATGTAGACGTTCAGAAAATGTTTTAATAATTATTTTCAAAAAATGTGACATGTCATGATCATTTCCCTTGTGATTATCATAAAATGTAATTTAATTTTTTTGCCTAGAATTTTCACCAAAATGCCTATGTGAATGTATTAAGAAGTAGGTGAACATAGAACAAGAAAATGAATTAGACAATAAAAGCCTTCAAGCTGCAATGATTGGACTTATTTCAGATAGAGATGTGAACTCTTGCTAAAGAAAAATTGATTTACCATTTACAGTTGATATTGCCATGGCTTTAAAAGTCTTGGAGACAGCCATCACTTGTATCGTTTGAATGAAAATGTATAAATTTGAAAACAAATTGAATATGCAACCTTTGTAAAAGTTACTCAATAGGATTTTCTTCCCCTATGGTTGATATAAGATATGCTAGTAGGAAAGCCTTTAGGAGTAGTGAATCTGAGTGCAGGAGTTTTTTGCTGATACCAGTAAGAATTTATGGATAATTAAATTTACTTCTATCACTTTTCCTTGATAGATGAAAAAGTTTCTTCTTGGAGCAAATTTGGTTTCCTAGTTCATGATAGGTAACCAATAATGTGATACATGTTTGACTGACGTTTTTTAAAGTTATTCATAAATTCCCAACATTCTTCACTAGGTCAACAAATTTCAATTGAATGCTTATTTCAAGTCAACCTCTAGGCAGTGAGGAATATTAGCAAATAAAAAACACCCCTGTCCTTGAGGGTCTTTCAATCTAGAAAATAAAGCCAGATGTCTTTTTTAAGTTGTATCCTTTAGTAATTTTTTTCAGGTTTTTCTCAAATGTGTTTAAGAGTTTTTGAAAGATAGTCTTTTTCTCAATTATACACACTAATATGCTATTGCTTGATTTTTAGCTTGTAAACCTTATATCCAGCCACTTTTTAAACTAGGTGTCCAATCATTTCCCTGTCCATAAGAACATTACAACTAAAAATAACTAATATTACAACACAATATACCAAAATATGATTATATTGGCAAAGAGTTCTGGAGCAATGTTAATGTTACCAATAGCAAACATCTTTTTCTTTACACAAGTGTTTTTGTCTTTTCTTTAATAGGAATACTCTTAGTGCTTCACGATTTCCATATTGTTTGCTGAGGTTTTATGTAGATTGCATTTGTCATGCACGGAAGACTTGTTTGGTTCCTAGCTCAGGTTTAAAGCTAAGAATCCATGCTAAATTTAATGAAACTGTTTCAGTGATGACAAAGTGGAATTTAAAATATTATTAAAATTGGGTGCTACAAAGTGTAAGTGATAAAAATTAAATAATAGTGATTTAAAAACTCCCTGCATCCCTAATTGATTCCAGCTGATTCATTTCACTTGTATTTTATATTTCACGAACGTATGTTGTAATGTGACAGCAGTTTCTGCTGGTGAATTGAGCTTTAGCACTACACGCATTACAGTGAGAGTGGCTGTAAATCTGGCCACTTCCCAGATAAAGTACAGCTTTGGTATTTAAAGTAACACGTACATTAGCCTCATGGCTTTCACAAAAGCACACACAATGCACAACCAATTCCATCAGTCTAGCCCTAACAGAAGTTTTACTCAACAGAGTGGCCTTGATCATTGAAACTATCCACATATCCTTCAACATTTGCCTCTGTTTTTGTCTCCCATGTAGAAATGACGATGGAATACAGATTGAGAAACTGAGAAATACTAAACTGAATACTGAATGCTAAGTTGAGAAAGTGAGAAAAGACAGTTGTGTATACTCTCACGATCTGCTTTACTCAACTAGAAACTGCATTTCAGCCTTTCCTAAGTGGTCTCCATCCTGTTAAGAGTGAACATTCCTCAAAAATACTAATCACTACTAAAGAGGAGTAGTAACCAACAGCAAGAATTTATAAGCTCAACTTTCTATTTTTCCCCCTTTTTAGAAAAGGATATTGGAGACCAAGCAGTACCTTTTTAACGCAATAGGTGGTCTGCGTCTTCATCTCTAGCTGTACAGGAACGTCAGCTGCTTGCGGGGTAGTTCACACCAGGCTACTAAGAGCCGGGTCAGATTTACAGAGTTCAGAGTAACCGTTCCTGAGTTATACCACATCGTTTCTGCTTTCTGGAATATCTTGTGACCAAGCTTTTCAAGAACTTTTAGATTTAAGATCCAAAAAGCGTATACTCTTTGAAATTAGCCACAGCCCCCAAATTCCAGGCTGATTAAAGTAAATAAATCAAAACACAACTGAAATATGTCCATGCTGGCTATGTTGTTTGGAGAGATGTGTTTTCTAATTCTGGAGGTTTAAAGGGCAAAAATGTTCTTTCAGGACCTGAAATATGTTACATATCAGAGAGCTTCTAT